GTGAGGACCGGGAAAACAGGACTGCACAGCAGAAGCTCTGGGACCAGGAGCAGGGCTTTTGTGGTTCCCACAGCACACTGCTAGACGCTCACGAAGGGCTAACAGATGAAGCAAGAATCCCCCACATTTTCATGGATTTTATCTCCAGCACCCCCATCAGGTTCTCAAGGTGAAGATGGGAGAAAACCCCCCTTGTTTGGCTGGTGGGGGAGGTAGTAGCCATTTCAAAATATGTCATGACAGAAGTTTAACCAAGGTTTGTCTAACACACATTTGCTCCCATTGATCAGTGGGGACAAAATAGTTCAGCTCATTTAAGAGATAAAGCATGGAAATTTGGAGGGTCTGTGTCTGGCCTTTTCATAAGTAATCAAGGTACTCCTGTAAGTCTCATTTAGTCTTATGGGGGAGACGGGTTCCCTGCAGTGCTTTTTCTCCAAACACAAAGTATGAGAAATCTCTTAATTGTCACTGTTTTCCAGGAGTATGGGATTCAGATAACAGTCAGCACCATTAACAGTAAGGGCTTCCAAGGACAATCTAAGATTCTTCACTATTTCTTCTCTGGCTCTTCTTTATGTAGATCTGAGTTTCTGACCCTTATCCTTTTCCTTCTCTCTGATGAACTTTTAAAACTGTTTCTTTCAAGGCAGGTCTACTTTTGCTTCTCTAAGAAGATCTGTATTTCTCTTTTACTTTTGAAGGATAATTGCGCTGGATACAAAATTCTAGGTCACCGTTTTTTTTTTTTTTTCTTTCAAAACTCTGAATATGTCACCCCACTGTCTTCTACTTATGCATGGTTTCTGGTAAGAACTCTGATATGATGCTGACCTTTGTTTCTCTCTGTCTAAGTTCATGGAGTGTGCAATGCTGAAACGTTGATAAAGTGGACAACTGACGTGTGTGTGTCCCTCGTTGCTTCAGTGCATCCTCAAAGACAGTTCCCAGTAATTCGAGTGGCTTTGATCCACTTTTCTTTTCCACAAACTGTTGCTGATGGAGTGCCTCCAAGAGAAGCATGTGGGGTGCTCACTAAAAATGCATACTCTTGGGTCCAAGCACTCTGTGAGAATCTCTGGGGAAAGGACACAGGATTTTGTATTAAAAACAAATCTCTAGGTGGTAAAACCATTGCTTCATAGTTACGTATTTTATGTCTTATATAATTATTTAAGAGTGATATTTTATGCTTTCGTATATATTTATATTTCAATCCATCTTAATTTTCTTTCTGTTATGATGCAAAGGGATTCCTTAGTGATTCAGATGGTAAAGAATCCGCCTGCCATGTGGGAGACCTAGGTTCGATTCCTGGGTTGGGACGATCTCCTGGAGGAGGGCATGGCAACCCACTCCAGTATTCTTGCCTGGAGAATCCCCATTGACAGAGGAGCCTGGCGGGCTACAGTCCATGAGGTCACAAACAGTAAGAAATGACTTAGTGACTAAGCACAGCACATGATGCAAAACTCTAAATTAAATTAACTGTATTTTTAAGGTTTTTACTTTAATTATGTCAGCAGCATTTATTAATAACCCATCTTTTCCCACTAAATTAAAGCATCACCCTTATGATAGATGGTGGAGTTTCTCACAGTTTTTATTTTATTTTTTTTTGTTTTCTCACAGTTTTTAAAAAAGACACATCCCTTTATTCTTCTTGTAAAATATCATGCACTAATCATAAAGAATTCGTGACATGCAGAAAAATAAGTTTAAGTTTTAAAAACCCGGCTGTCTTAGATTGAATAGCATCCCTCCAAAATTCATGTCAACCTGGATTTGTGAACTTACTTGGAAATGGGATCTTTGCAGATTACATTACATTAAGATCAGACCATATAGGATTAGGGTGGGTTCTAATGAAAAGAATTAGTATCTACATAAGAAGGGAACCTGGGCTTCCCAGGTGGTACAGTGGTAAAGAATCGGCCTGCCAATGTGGGAGACACAAGAGACACAGGTTCAACTTCTGGGTCAGAAAGATCCCCTGGAGAAGGAAATGGGAACCCACTCCAGTATGCTTGCCTAGGAAACCCCATGGACAGAGGAGCCTGGTGGGCTACAGGCCATGGAGTCATGAAGAGTTGGACACGACTGAGCACACATGAATAAGAAAAGAACAGATGCACAGTGAATGCCATGTGAAGACAGAGATTGAGATTGAAAAGCCAAAGAAAGAGAGAATACAACTACCAGAAACTAAGACAGAGGCATGGAATATGGTCTTCCTCCAAGCCTCCCAAAGAAACAATCTTGCCGACATCTTGAGTTTGGACAGCTGGACCCCCAGAGCTGCAAGTGATTAAGTTTCTGTTGCTCTGTGCAACCAGTCTGACTGTGGTACTCTAGGAAACCAATATATCAACTACCACGAGATAACTAACTTTAACAGCAAATGACCCTCATTCCAGATGTGTTCAGTTCAGTTGCTCAGTCAAAGATGACTGCTATCCCATGGGCTGCAGCACGCCAGGCTTCGCTGTCCTTCACCAACTCCTAGAGCTTACTCAAACTCATGTCCACCGAGTTGGTGATGCCATCCAACCGTCATCCTGTGTTGTCCCCTTCTCCTCCTGCCTTCAATCAATTCCAGCATCAGGGTCTTTTCTAAGTCAGCACTTCGCATCTGGTGGCCAAAGTATTGGAGTTTCAGCATCAGTCCTTCCAACGAATATTCAGAGTTGATTTTCCTTCAGGATTGACTGGTTTGATCTCCTTGCAGTCCAAGGGACTCTTAAGAATCTTCTCCAACACCACAGTTCAAAGCATCAATTCTCTGGCACTCAGCTTCTCTTTATGATCCAAATTTCACATCAATACATGACTACCGGAAAAACCAATAGCTTTGACTAGACGAACCTTTGTCAGCAAAGTAATGTGGCATTTAGCATGATGTACTCTGCATATAAGTTAAACAAGCAGGGTGACAATATACAGCCTTGGTGTACTCATTTCCCAATTTGGAACCAGTCCATTGTTCCATGTCCAGTTCTAAATGTTGCTTCTTGATCTGTGTACAGATTTCTCAGGAGGCAGGTAAAGTGGTTTGGTATTCCCATCTGTTTAATTTTCCAGTTTGTTGTGATCCACAACATGTAATAACCTTTGACTAAGTCAAAGGCTTTGGCATAGTCCATAAAGCAGAAGTAAATGTTTTTTTGGAACTCTCTTGCTTTTTCTATGATCCAACAGATATTGGCAATTTGATCTCTCGTTCCTCTGCCTTTTCTAAATCCAGCTTGAATATCTGGAAGTTCTTGGTTCAAGTACTGTTGAAGTCTTGCTTGGAGAATTACATGTAAGCATGAAGTGCAGTGTGAAAGTGTTAGTCACTCAGTCATGTCCAACTCTTTGTGACCCTATGGACTGTAGCCTGCCAGGCTCCTCTGTCCATGGGATTTTCCAGGCAAGAATACTGGAGTGGGTTGCCATTTCCTACTCAAGGGGATCTTCCTAACTCGGGGATTGAACCCAGGTCTCCTACACTGCAGGCAGATTCTTTACTGTCTGAGCCATCAGGCAAGCCCATAATATGTATACACATATTATACATGTAATAGACTGAGAGAAATATTTCCAGTACAAGGTAATTCTGTACACTCTATATTATTAAATGTTATTTTACTTGAATCTGTCTTAAAAAAAAAGAAAGGGGAGGGAGGTGGGCAGGGGGTTAAAGATGGGGAACACATGTACACCCATGGTGGATTCAAGTCAATGTATGGCAAAACCAACACAATGTTGTAAAGTAAAACAAGTAAATTAATTAATTTAAAAAAAAAGAAAGAAAAAAACTGGATTTGTACTATTAGTCTGCTGATGGTTTTTCCTATTTCTGTGCTAACAGGTTGGTGTTTAGTTTTTTTTTATTATTACTCCTTTTTTTTTTAAGGGTTTTCTTGATCATTCACAACTGTGTGATCCTCTACACAAAATTTAAAATCAGTTACGTTTAAGTCACCCTCGAGAGAATTTGGGATTCTGTTGTCAGTTGTGCTAATTTTCAAATTTGACTTGGGAAGAATTGGCCTATTTTTGGTACTGACTTCTCATCCAAAGATCTGGCACGTTTTTTTTCATTTACTCAAGTCTTGTTTTCACCAAGATTGATGGATTTATTTCATCACCAGGATCTTCTAACTCCTTAAACTTTATTCCTAACTACTTTACAGTTTTTGATGCCATTGCAGATAAAATAATTTCCTTTTTAATAGGTTATTACTTGTTCAAAAGGAAAACTGCTAATTTTCCCTCTGCTTATCTCTCTCGAGTTTTAAGCCTCTTGCTAAACTCAGTTTTGATGGAGACATCTGAGTTTTTGCACTTGGCCTTTGAACCGCTGCATTAACCCCTGGCTTCCTGTATCCCAGCCTCCTTGCCAGCCAGTGAGCTGCACAACCGCGTCATAAAGTGGGGTGTCTCCAGGGCACAGCACCAGCGAGCTCAGCTCAGAGGAAAGTGGTCTATACCCAGGGTCACTGACACCATTTTGGCCTGCTTGACGAAACCAGCTCCTAAGAAATAACGCCGTCAGTCAGTTCGTACTGAGGCAAAACCAGACGAGCCCAAGATCACATTAGCATCTTAGCAGGAAGAAAAGAGCGCTGGAGCAGAGGCCAGGAGTTCGGCCTCCCGCGCGGCGGGCCGGCGGAAAGAGCCGAGCGCGCTCCGAAGTTGCGGCCACGCCTTCCGCAGGGAGCGTCAGGGGGCGGGGCTCGCGCGGCGGCGCGTTGCGCGCGGGGCATTGTGGGAGGGGCGGCCGGTGCGGCCGCGGCTGCCATCTTAGCAACTCCTGGCGTTGCGGCCTTGTCGTGGGAGGCGGCCTTCGCGGCGGCCCTCGACCTCACAGAGAGACGAGAGAGTCAGCTCGCTGACCAGCTTTCCTTCCCTCGGCCTCGACAGGCCTGCCGGCCCGCGTCCGGAGGCGGAGGCGCGGGTAGCCCGGCACGTGCAGGGCCCGAAGCCAGAGGTTAGTCACAGCGTCGCCCGGAAGGATGGGCCGGTCTCGGAGCCGGAGCTCGTCCCGCTCCAAGCACACCAAGAGCAGCAAGCACAACAAGAAGCGGAGCCGGTCCCGCTCGCGCTCTCGGGACAAGGAGCGCGTGCGGAAGCGCTCCAAGTCCCGGGAAAGTAAACGGAACCGGCGGCGGGAGTCGCGGTCCCGCTCGCGCTCCACGAACACGGCCGTGTCCCGGCGCGAGCGGGACCGGGAGCGCGCCTCGTCCCCGCCCGACCGCATCGACATCTTCGGGCGCACGGTGAGCAAGCGCAGCAGCCTGGACGAGAAGCAGAAGCGAGAGGAGGAGGAGAAGAAAGCAGAGTTCGAGCGGCAGCGGAAAATGTGAGCTTCCGCGCTGGGAGGGGTGGGGGTGAGGGGAGACGGGGTGACGGGGGGCGGTGGTGAGGGGAGATGGGGTGATGGGGAAGAGGGGATTGGGAGGGTGGTGAGGACAGTGGGGGTGGTGAGGGAGAGGGTGACGGGGTCAATGGGGGGTGGTGAGGGGAGAGGGGCTCACGGGGGAGTCGGGGGTGGCAGGGGAAGGGGGTGACCGGGTCAGTGGGGGTGAAGGGGGTCAGTGAGAGGTAGCGGCGGATGGCGGGGACACTGGGGGTGCCGGTGAGGCGCGGGAGTGTGGGGCGGCGAGGAAACAGGCGATGGCTTGGTCGGGGTGGGGGGAGGTGAAGGAGGTTAGAAGGGTCGCTGGAACCGGGCCCCGCGGGCCTGCAGCTTCGGCGTCTGGAAAGGCGGGGGGTCAGGACCTACCCGCGAGTTGGTTGGGAAGGAAGACTGCGGGGACCGGCCTGGGAGGGCTTGGAGGGGAGAGCGCGTTTTGGCGCGAGAGGCGGCGGCGACGAGTCCCGGAAGTGGGGGGTGCAGTTCCGAGCGGGCGGGGAGCCGCGTCGGCCCCTTGGCTGACGAGGGATGCGGGCCTCTGTCGCGTCGGAGACGTAGGACCCGAATTCTCGGGGATAAAGAAAAACACTCCAAAGCCAGGCGCTGAACTTCGGTGTGTTCCTCCTGTTGAGTGATGTCGTGGTCGCTTTTCCCTTCTTGAGCCTCTCTTTTTTTTTGAGGTGTAAAAAGCAAAACGCACGTAGCTTAAGTGTACAGTAAGTTTCTTTTGCTCTGCTGTGCCAAGTCGCTCAGTCGTGTCCGACTCTTAGACCCCGTGGACTGCAGCCTGCTCGGCTCCTCTGTCCATGGGGATTCTCCAGGCAAGAATACTGGAGTGGGCTGCCATGCCCTCCTCCAGGGGATCTTCCCGACCCAGGGATCGAACCCAGGTCTCCCACATTGCAGGCGAATTCTTACCGCCAGAGCCACCAGGGAATTGCACTGTTGGTTCATTTTGCTGTGTGGTTCTCTGTAGCACACTTTGGTGCACGCCTGTTGTTTCCCCTTGTGGCGTACTTGCTGTTGAGAAGACAGTAATTGCTTTCACTGTTGCATTGGTCCAGTGTAGAAGAGGCGCCTCTCGAGGGGTGCGCATAGTCCCAAGCCAATGAAATGGCTTGGGATAATATGGTCTAATCATGAAATTTTGCTTTTGAAGTGTAGGGTTTTGTTTCGGTTCAAGACTATGGTACTCTGATGCTCTGGGTGTTCTTTCCCACCCAGAGTTGCCTTGCTGACTCGACCTGTTTAACCAGCCGTCTTCCGTGGCTCTTGAGTGCATGTTCTGAAAGTGCCCACATGAGGCAGGACAGTTACTGAATGTTGAATTTTCCTAAGATAAGTTTATCTTGTGTACTGATTGTGCAGAGGTTTTAACTTTCTCTGCAGTGTGGCTTGTTTCTAAAAGCAAATCATTAAGAGGTCAGGGAATAGAAAACTAATATTACCGTGGAAGCATTACCTGAGGAGTTCCTTCGCTGCGTTCCTTTAAAACACGCGCAGTGCTTTGATTTTTCCTTAGAAGCATCAGTGATTGTATGAACACCAAGTACACGTAATTGTGTTGGAGGAAATTTCATTTACATAGAATGCAGTTTTATGGTCTGAAACAAGATCCTTAATTGTAAAGATGGAGTTCTCAAATAACTATCAACATATGAGCGTTTAAAAAAACTGACGTCTCTGGGATAATATTTACATGCGAAACCAAAGGATACCTTCAAAGAGTAATGGTTTGCCACTCACTAGAAAGCTTAAGACGTATAGGAACAGTATTTAGAAGGATTTAGCAAACTTCACACGAATAGCAGAAAAGAAATCCAGAGATGAAATGAGAATTTAGAGCAGTTATATAGTTCCAAGTTGATAGAGGAGGCATACTTCCATTAGCATGTATGAAGGGAGGAGGGGGTAGAACTAGCATCCACCTTACACTGAATTCCTGTGTGTCCTGCCAATAGTCACTCAGTCATATCTGACTCTTTGCGGCCCCATGGATGGTAGGTAGCTCACCGGCTGCTTTGTCCATGAAGTTCTTCAGGCAAGAATACTGGATGGTTTCAGTTCAGTTCAGTCGCTCAGTCATGTCCGACTCTTTGCAACCCCATGAATCACAGCATGCCAGGCCTCCCTGTCCATCACAAACTCCCAGAGTTTACCCAAACGCATGTCCATTGAGTTGGTGGTTTTATCCAACCATCTCATCCTCTGTCGTCCTCTTCTAATCCTGCCTTCAACCTTTCCCAGCATCAGGGTCTTTTCCAGTGAGACAACTCTTCACATGAGGTGGCCGAAGTATTGGAGTTTCACTTTCAGCATCAGTCCTTCCAATGAACACCCAGAACTGATCTCCTTTAGGATGGACAGGTTGGATCTCCTTGCAGTCCCAGGGACTCTCAAGAGTCTTCTCCAACACCACAGTTCAAAAGCATCAATTCTTAGGTGCTCAGCTTTCTTCACAGTCCAACTGTCACATCTGTACATGACCACTGGAAAAACCATAGCCTTGACTAGACAGACCTTTGTTGGCAAAGTAATGTCTCTGCTGTTTAATATGCTATCTAGGTTGGTCATAACTTTGCTTCCAAGGAGTAAGCGTCTTTTAATTTCATGCCTGCAATTACCATCTGCAGTGATTTGGGAGCCCAAAAAAATAAAGTCAGCCACTGTTTCCCCATTTATTTGCCATGAAGTGATGGGACTGGATGCCATGATCTTAGTTTTCTGAATGTTGAGCTTTAAGCCAACTTTTTCACTCTCCTCTTTCACTTTCATCAAGAGGCTTTTTAGTTCCTCTTCACTTGCTGCCATAAGGGTGGTGTCATCTGCATATCTGAGGTTATTGATATTTCTCCTGGCAATCTTGATTCCAGCTTGTGCTTCTTCCAGCTCAGCGTTTCTCATGATATACTCTGCATGTAAGTTAAATAAGCAGGGTGACAATATACAGCCTTGAGGTACTCCTTTTCCTATTTGGAACCAGTCTGTTGTTCCATGTCCAGTTCTTAACTGTTGCTTCCTGACCTGCATATAGGTTTCTCAAGAGGCAGGTCAGGTGGTCTGGTATTCCCATTTCTTTCAGAATTTTCCACAGTTTATTGTGATCCACACTGTCCAAGGCTTTGGCATAGTCAATAAAGCAGAAATAGATGTTTTTCTGCAACTCTCTTGCTCTTTTGATGATCCAGCAGATGTTGGCATTTTGATCTTTGGGTCCTCAGCCTTTTCTAAAACCAGCTTGAGCATCTGGAAGTTCACGGTTCACGTATGGCTGACGCCTGGCTTGGAGAATTTTAACCAATACTTTACTAGTGTGTGAGATGAGTGCAATTGTGCGGTAGTTTGAGCATTCTTTGGCATTGCCTTTCTTTGGGATTGGAATGAAAGCTGACATTTTCCAGTCCCGTGGCCACTGCTGAGTTTTCTAAATTTGCTGGCCTATTGAGTGCAGCACTTTCACAGCATCATCTTTCAGGATTTGAAATAGCTTAACTGGAATTTCATCGCCTCCACTGGCTTTGTTAGTAGTGATCTTCAGCTTTCTAAGGCCCACTTGACTTCACATTCCAGGATGTCTGGCTCTAGGTGAGTGATCACACCATCGTGATTATCTGGGTCGTGAAGATATTTTTTGTACAGTTCTTCTGTGTATTCTCGCCACTTCTTAATATCTTCTGCTTCTGTTAGGTCCATACCATTTCTGTCGTTTATCGAACCCATCTTTGCATGAAATGTTCCCTTGGTATCTGTAATTTTCTTGAAGAGATCTCCAGTCTTTCCCATTCTGTTGTTTTCCTCTATTTCTTTGCATTGGATGGGTGGCCATTCCTTTTTCCAGGGGATCTTCCTGACCCAGGGATCGAACCTGTGTCTCTTGCAGTAGGCACTGCTTAATATGGTCTAATCATGCAGAAGAGACAAGTGAAAGGTCTAGGTTTCACAGCCGTGGGAATGGGCAGAAGTAGTTGTCTATCTACAAATTGTGTTGGTTAGCTCATTCAGTTAATACTTAGGGAGCATTTGAGAAGTGCCAAGCACTATGCCAAGAGCTGTTATTCTGAGAGATGATTGACCCTCCAGGATCTCAATCTAGCTTGAAGATGGGTAGATGGGTAGGTAGGTAGTAATACAGTGTGGTAAATTCCGTGATAGTGATGTGACTGAAAAGGACGCATCCTGGACAGCTCAACACCTTAGTTCTCTTGAAGAATGAGTGGCAGATAAAGATAGGAGACTGTCAGGCTCTCCATATGAGGATACATTCTGACCCAGGGAGGGAGTGCCCTCACCCCTGTCAGAATAAAGGGAGAGTTGCAGATGGTCTTAGTGTGGAGTAAAGAGGTGAATATGGACTTGAACATGAAATTCCTTAGGTACTAAAGTCATGGAGTACTGGAAAGGTAGGTAGAGGCTGGGAATCATGGGAAGGGTCTTATAGGGCTGAATTACGGACCTTGGATTTCATCATAGAAACCAGAAGGGTTTAAAGCAGGCAAATGGTGTGGGGTTGTTGGTTGGTTTGTTTTTGAACAGATGTTTGTTTTTAAACAGATCGACTGCTGTGTAGGATAAATTGCAGTAAATACACGTAGGAGTAGTGAAGGAGCAGTTGTTGAAATGGACAAAAGGGGCAGATTTAAGAAACATTTAGAGCAAATAAAATTCGATGTGAAACAAAAGGGAAGTAAAGTATTATTCTTGGCTCTTAAGTTTATATTGTGGCCATTGCACCTCAGCTACCAGATGTTTAAGTCATGACACTGTGGGTCAGACTCAGATAAAATGTCAGAAGCCTGGTGGATGGTGGAGGGGGGAAAATAAAGGGAGCTTCCACTTGGCACTTCCAATGTAGGCACTAGATTTTGGATATAGTGAGTTTATCCAAGCTTGATAGTGCGGAACTGAAACCTGAGAACTCTTGAGCGTAGATAGAATGACCCAGGGAGAGTGTGGGGAAGAGATGTGGTCACAGGGATGTGTGTGTTTACCTTTGGACAGAAGGAAAGTGCGTGGTTGGGCAATGAGTGAAGAAGGAGCAGAAGACACACTGTTGAGTCTACCTTCTTGTGCAAGGTCCAGTGTGAGGTGGAGAGACAGCAAAATTAGAATTGATTGGGCTTTAGCAATCTCAGTAAGATTGGAAACTAGGCTGTTTTGCCATTTACACTCTGAGACCTTGAATAAACTACCTACCTTTCTTACCTGTAAAATGGAGATACCTGTCTTGTTTATTGTGAAGGTTAGAAATAGTGCATTTGGGGTACCTAGGTGATATTTGTCATGTATGCAGTGAGACTCAATAATGTTGTTTGTAACTTACATACGTGCAACCAGATTGAACCTGGTGAATTTAAGAAGTGACCTTACAAGTCATAATCTTAATATAATAAAAGGCAGACCTTAAAATTAAAAAATTCTTGAAATTTTGAGGTTGATGATTCAGTTCGAAAGAGCTCCTCCTCCTCATGTCCCAGTCATTCAGGGTTGTGCTCTCTCTCTGCTTCTGCACCCTTATCATTTTTCAGGTTTTATTTTGAGATGCTTTATGCCTAATGTAATATCTGTTGGGGAAAGAGAAAGAGTGACTGAAAATGACTTGCAACAAATCAGGATAATAGTGGCATAGTAACTTTAGTGTTCAACTGCATGACATCTTGAGTGCCTTCTAAATGAGAGTATCTGAAGTAAACTGGGGTCTGTCTAGTGATTCTGAGAATACTTAGGAGCTTATTGTGAGAGCAAATTCAGTGTGTTGGAACTGCATATCAGGGTGGGTAGGGCTTTGAGACGAACTTTAGGGAGAAAGGTCAGGCTGATGTTGAAAAGAATTTTATCAGTTTTTAAAGTAATTATTTTGCATGTAAATTTTTGTGCATACCTGTGCCTTCCACATTTGTCTGGAGAAACAGTGCAGAGTAGTAGGTCATTACCTGTGGAGTAGCTAGGTTGAGGGTCACTCCTCAGTCACTTGCTTTGCCTCAGAGGCCATCAGAGATGTACATGATGCTGTGGTGTATAGAGCTTTGGGCAGAGTAGTCAGTATGAATAAATCTGTTTGCTAATGTTATGAAGCAGTTCCTAGAATTAAGCTCCTAGCACTGAGTTTGTACATTTTGAAGACTTAGAAATAATATTCCTCGATGCTCTGTGCAAAGTCCCACTTGAATTAATGGTGCTGTGTTGCTAGGCCTTTGTTGTTGGTTCTAGTGGTTGCCATTTTAAGGTTGATTGTGATCAGTGTTTTTAAAAGACCTGAGACAATGGAGAAAACTTGGTTTTGATTCACCCCTTTCATGTGTCACAGGTTCTTAACAAGGGGATGAATTTAGGAAAGGACTTTGAGGAAAAAAATTAGAGAAAAGAATCAAGAATGATAACTCCTATGACCAAAGTTTAACAAAGGGGTATGCAATAATTGTAGTGATACGTTTCATAAGATACTAATGATGAAATTGGGTTGTTGTTTTTTTCCTTTTCTTGATAAAGTTTCAGTGCCTCTTTGGAAAGTCAGCCTAATAGCTGCCTTATCAGCAATTATGATAATAAATTTGTTTGTCATCAGTAAAAATGAACTCAATTTTTTAAGAGCTGCCACCCACCCCACCTTCCTTCAGCCGAGCGGCACAGGAAAGCTACGCTGCACTGCCTTTTATTGAGTTTCGCGCCGTGTATCAGGGGCCCAGACACGAGAAGGGCGCGGTAAAGGCACACAGAGGCACAGCCAGGGGTCCAGGCTGTGCTCCCAGCGCAGCGCCTGGCGCCCCGTGTGCAGCTCAGCAGGGGCTTGTCAGCTCCCCTGTGCCTGTGCCATGGAGGTTCTGGATTCACGTGTGTGGAGGGAGGGGAGTTGAAACGCTATTGGGCTTTTAACGATTTCAGAGCTGGATCTAGAAATTGATCAACTTTTTCTGATTGCTGAAGTAGCTGTTTTAACCTTACTAAGAATAATAGCGATTATATTGTTGATAGTCCTTGTAGGGGGCGGCTTTGCACTCGTGCCCTGACCTTGCCTGTCTCCTGGCAGGGCACGGCAGCAAGGCCTAATTACAATCTGGGGTGGGGGTGCCTGTTCCTCCAGGAACAGAGAGAGATAAGCAGCCTTGTGAGAAAGTCCACTGGGCCGTTTCCCATCTCCTGGTTTCAGTTAAGCTTGGCAGTTTCCGCTTGCCCTCCCCTCGAGACTGTGAAACTGCTGAGCTGTAGTTAGAGTTGACTCCTTAGCAGCAGCCATCTCTTGCCTACACTGCTTGTCACAGTGTGTAGCCTGTCCCCTGGCCCCTCTGGTTTGGTGTCCATCAGTGGGAGCAGAAACCCAGGGAGCTGATACCATGCTGGTGTGGCTTTTACTGTAAGTAATAACACTGAATTTATTTAGGTTCATTTTGTGCTTACTGACCAAATCTGTGGAAATGTGGCCCCATCAGCCATTGTGCTGTATTGCTGTCATTTAGGGACTGTTTGCTTGTCAGAAACACTAAATATATGTCCGATCTCTTCCACCTTTACCAAACTCCTTAGTTAATTAGTCAGCTTTTTTACTGATAACCTAACTCAAAGCCTTATCCCATTCTTTTCCCTCTTTACTACTTTGTGTGGAAAGTTTTAATTGGAACTTGGTTTATAGTGTCCTTCTTTTAAGAGTTGAGTTGTACCGTTTTTGAAATTTTAAAATGAAATTTCTTCTTACACATTTATTAATTTTATAAGAACCAGCTAACAAAAGGTGTGCAGGGTATGTGTATACTTTTAAACTTGGTGTTATGAAAGCTTTCCAGTTTACCAAAATGGAGTACTGTAATCCTCATACATCATACAGGTTCAGCAATTGTTAGCCTTGCTTGTTTCTTTCATATTTTCTTTCTCTTGGGATAAAGTAGAGAAACAGCATGTTTATATTTGAAATGTAGTTTTAATTTGTATTGAAGTCACTGCCTGATTTCCTTTAGATATTCTGGTCACTCATTTTTAGTGCTGGAGTAGATGTCTGTTCTCTTTTACTGAGCTGCTGTAGATGAAGGCTTATTGGAACTGCCTTAATACTATATTTTGTTGAAACTAAAAAAAGGAAAAGGAGCATAGTTAGAGTACATGTTAGGCTTTCATGTTTTTCCCCCCAATTATAATCACCAATAATGTAATGTTGGGAAGAGATAGTTAAGAAACAAGCAACAGAATCTTCAGAATGGTTATTGCAGATATCTGGAACCTAATAGAAATTATGCTTTTTCAAGAAGCTGCTATCTCCCTGGCAGAAATACGTAGAGATTATAAATGCAGAAACATATATGAATGTGACTGTTAGATATGCTGGTGTTGATATGGTATCACTGAATAAATAACAGGAGTTGAGAATGAAAGCACCTTAGTGGGAGTTGAATCACCCCCCAGAATAGTTGACTTGAAGTGGATTAGGATATTTAAAGGTCACTTAGAAACTATGAAGTCTTAGCTAAACAGATAAATTGAATGACTTCATACATACATGGGAGTCATCAAAAGATAGAAAGGTTACAGATTTTGTTTAATTTTGTGGTTGTGAGAAAGCTGAAGCATTAATGGATTGACCTCTTAGGATTTAGGTATACTTTGAGAGTTTTTTGCATTCATTTCAGCACAGATTGTCTCAAATAATGCTGTTCAATAGAAATGTAATGTGAGCCAGATTAAAAAGAAACCAGTGAAATTAATTTTAATATATGCTGTATCTTTATTTTTTTCATTTTACTAATCTTCAGTTCAAATTGGATGCATGTGACTAGTGGATGTCATATTGGAGATCACTGGTATAAAATGTGCGAGGTTTCCAGCATGGTGCCTTGATAAATGTCAGTATCTTCAGCACTGAATTTCATCTTGAGTAAATAAGTTCATATATAGTATCTAAATGGGATTAGAATAATTAAGCAATATCATGCTTCATTGAACTTTTTAGAAAAAGTGATGATAAAAATGCATTTCATCCACTTCCCCATATCTGGAGAAGGAAATGGCAACCCACTCCAGAATTCTTGCCTGGAGAATTCCATGGACAGAGGAGCCTGGTGCGCTACAGTCCATGGGGTCGCAAAGAGTCATACACAACTGAGTGACTAGCACTCCCCATATTTGGTAGAGCTTTGAATTGACAGTCAATTAATAAAAGAAAGAACAGGTTCATTAAAGGGTAAAAGTTGCGAAGCTAAGTAAGTTTGTGTTTTTTCTAAAAGCTGCAGTACTACTGCTTTCACACTCTGAATCTCTGAATCTGTATTTATTCTGACCTTGCTTGTAAGTGGGGCGGGGGGAGGTCTGTAGCTGGTCTGAATTGCTTGCTACATAAGTTTCTCCTAACTTCTCTGTAACTCATCGCTTAGATTAAATGGATTGGCAGATGAGCAAATCATATATTTATATAATAGCTTGTCCTTTCATTATAAAGCTGATAATGAAAGTAGATTTCCTGTTTCAGATTTACTCTGCGATTCCTAAAGCTAAGGCATTAAGCTCTTTGTATATACTAATCTTTTTGTATTTACTTTAGAAAGTGACAGAAGAAAAAACCATGATCTTATATTTATTTGAATTTTGGTATCATTTAACCTCTTAATATCTATCTTTTCCTTGTATGTTACATGAGAGTGAGTTGTAAAATCATAGAAATATATAATTGGACTCTGTTTTATAGACTTAGAACTAGTTCTCTTTCAACTCTTGGTTTACTATATTATCAAAATCACCTTTCCCACTTTGTTTGCTAGTCGGCAGCAGGAAATAGAAGAAAAACTCATAGAGGAAGAAACAGCACGAAGAGTGGAAGAGCTGGTGGCCAAACGGGTCGAGGAAGAATTGGAGAAACGGAAGGATGAGATTGAGCGAGAAGTTCTCCGAAGGGTGGAGGAAGCCAAGCGCATCATGGAAAAGCAGTTGCTCGAAGAACTCGAGCGACAGAGACAAGCTGAGCTTGCAGCACAAAAAGCCAGAGAGGTAACGCTCGGTCGTTTGGAAAGTAGAGACAGTCCATGGCAAAACTTTCAGTGTCGGGTGTGCCTCCTGCTCAGTTCAGAAAGAGATGGAATACAGACTCATTCCTTTCTCGTCTAAACTTAACATTGCTGTGAAAGTTAATTTTTTAGCCTATTCAGATGTGCTGACTGATACTTAAAAGTTATTTCCATAAAACTATCCAAGGATACTTTTTGATTGAATGGAACTGGCTTACATATTTGAGAAGTGTTTGAAACTTTTGCCATGGCTGCAGGACTTATTTTCTTCTTTGGGAGGGTGGGGGGAGACAGAGAGTGGTAAAGGAGAAGGTTAATAATCCGCCTGTGGTTATGTGTTCTTTTCTGTTCATCACTCTTACTGCCTAGACTGTGAGAGGCTTTTTGCCTTCAGTCAGATTAAAAAGAGCAGGGCCTAACGTTGAGTGACAGCACCTGCTTTTGATAAATAGGTTTTCTTGCTCTTCTTTTTTTCCTTCTTTTATTCCTTGCCCCCTACCCCAAATATTGCTTCAACACAATGGACTAATTCTAGCATTCTGATCATGAGGCCCTCCATTTTCCTAATGTGTTTCAAGGATCTTTTTAGGAAAAATGTCCAGATTATTCATCCACTTTTTTAGTATCTACTAACAACTCGTTTTTTCCTCTAGAAAGTTATGAAGGAACAGGTTGTCCTTGTCTGGAGTCAAGCTAAACACACGATTTGTTTTATCAGCAGCTGGAGCAGAAGTTGAAAATGTCTTTCTGTGAGACAGTAATTTGCTACTGAAGCTTTATGGCTTGTTTGCACTGATTACTCCAGGATCCTAAAACTTCCTGAAAGTCACTGAAACACTCGAGGCAAATTACTTTACAGCACTGAGTGTCCCTCAACATAGTTGCATAATAACTGAATTTCATTGATAGAAAATAGAACCTGTAGTTCTATTTTGTCGAACTTCAATGTTTTACTCAAAATAATGTGATCCATTGTCATTTTTAATCTTGGCATTATTGTGGACAAGTTGATTTTACATTAAATCTCTGTTTTCCAGTAAGCTTAGTTTTTCAAATGCATTTTCCCTCGTGCTGTCTTTAACTAGATATGCCTGTCTATATTTAGTGGATGTTACAGCCTCTGCAATTGAGTATATGAAATTTTGATTAGTGTTTTTCATGACGAAGATACTTTTGGAGTAATGGTGCTGTCTTGTAGCGAGTTATTAATCATAGGAAGATTTTTTTCTCTTCGTTTGCTTTTTGTTTCATATTAACAAAATTTTTTTTTTTTTAACACGGACACAACCCTCTTGACAGTCTTCCCAAATATTAAAATCATTTGAATATGTATGCTGTGATCTCAACACTGCCCAAACCATCAAGCAGTCTTCATATAGTTTGCATTATAAAATCTCATTAAATTCTCCAAGAAAAAATAAATTACAGAATTTTATTTCCTGACCATGCACCCTCTGGATTCCTGATTTTCAGTTCAGATTGTAGATGACAAGATAAGCTGCCTTTAGAAATTGTCAACAATTCTGAATGTTAAGTCCATTTTCCCCATGGAAGAAGCCCTTAGTTCCATGAAGTATGGATTACCATTTGTATTTTTCACTAACAGTAAATGTATTTTTCTTATTAATTGTTTGCCTTAGGAATGATGAATTACATTTTTTGTTCCTTCTTACCATAAACATCTGCACTCCTCAGCTCAGCCTTGCTTGTATGTGCTCCTTTATAAATGGTTGAGCTGCTGATGCAGGTTTGCCACGCTCACAGTACAAATCACTTTAAAGAGGAAGCTGGCGCGTGTGGCAGCCGAGGAGCTCACTCTGCAGGACACTGGACCAGACAGTTTACTCAACTTTTAATGCTGATTAAAGGAGGATAGGTAAAGAATGCGTAGGTATACAGATTGGTGAGACAAATGTTCACTTTATTTATCTTTTATGTATTATTTTTTAATTTGGTAAATACTATCCAGTTTTGTAGTTGTCCTTGTTGATTTGTGTGATGTTAAAGTATTAGTAGTAACGGCCAGGAACCTGTCATTAGGGAGGGTGTAGTCGGTTGCTGTTTGGACTGGGAGGGATGATTGAATTTAGTGCTAGAGACAAATGCTAGTGGCTGCACAGTTTACCGTTTGCCAGACAGAAGGTGGCTATACAGCTGCCCTGTTAAGTCAGATCAAAAAAGTTCAGAGGAAGATTAGTAAGTATTTACCAATTAAAAAAAAAAAACATTTTATCTTTCTAACATCTTAACATGTCCTCCCCTTTAGGAGGAAGAACGTGCAAAACGTGAAGAGCTAGAGCGAATATTAGAAGAGAATAACCGAAAAATTGCAGAAGCACAAGCCAAACTGGTATGTATAAACTATACGTGAAAAATAGTCCAGAGTTCTCAGAACTGTTTTAAGGAATTTGAGGCAGGAGTAAGAATAGTTCACTAGATTTTAGCTACTATCTTTAGAGGAATCTCTTTCGGGCAAGCCAGAAATTCTGGTTAATCTGGAGAAAATTCCAGAATTCACAGTGGTTTAGAACAGATTTTCTAGGGGAAATTGAACTGTCCCTAATTTTTTTCTATCCTAACCTCATTCACATTTCTTCTCCACCTACAACACAAAAGCAAAAGTCTGAAGGTATTTACATGCACTAATATGCAATATTTCACTTGGCATAAGTTGCTGTTATCAATTACTAGACAGAATAAGTAGACAGTATTTGATAAAGTGTACCAGGTTAGTAAGTGTTCTGTGTTTTTCAAGTTTATAATCTAACAAGGAATAGAGACTTAAGTAATTGCATTATGAAATAGGCATATGAAAGGAGATACAATTTTTACATTTCATTAAAGTCAATATAAGAATACCAAAGTAAATTCTTTTAATAGAAAAGCTGATACACATCACTTCTGTTTTTCTTTCCCATTCTGTGTTTTAGTGCTCCAGTTTTTTGTGTTTGTAGCATATACTAGCGTTTAAAAGTAGATAAAGGTTTTGTTGTAGTAGGATTTTCCCACTTAAAAGTGTGAACATATTTTGAAGCATACTCAGTATGAGAAAGCTAGAATTAAAGGAGTATAGATATAAATAAATCAAAAACAAAAAAGGATAGTCAGACATTATAAGGGAAAACTTTCTTATACAGATGGCACATAGGAACTCTACTTCAAAGTAAGAATATAAATCAAGGATGGAAGGACATGTACATAACGATGAATGAGCATTAGTGGTGGTTCCTGCCCAGGAATGAAAACATGGCCCAAGAGGGACTTTTGATTGTAGACAGGATTTGCCTAGTTAGAAATGGTTGTGAATAATATAGCCATAGGAAAACATGTGCTACTAAGTTATGCTGTAGACTGTGGGGGAAGCAAGATGTAGGTTCCATTTAAGCGGTTTAGAAAAAAACAAATTCTGTGACTGTGTTTATAAAGGCACAGAAAAAGATCTGGGAGTGTCTAAGCAATTTGAGTTTGGGCAAACTCCGAGAGATAGTGAAGGACAAGGAAGCCTGGCATGCTGCAGTTCATGGGGTTGAAGAGTGGGACAAGCACTTAGAGGTGGATCCTTATGGCCAGGTGGGGGTGAGGGAAGACCGCAACTACTTGTTTATAATGCGTAAGAATGTGACAGTGAAACCACCAGCAGTTGGTCTTAGAGCATGATCTTTTACAAGATAATGTACCTCACATAAGAGCCAAACTCGAAATACTCTGAACAACTTACCGAGCTTGACGTAAGGATTCTTGCTTAATGTCACTGTCCTGGTTAAAGTGAAAGCCACAGGGAAAGGGGAAGACTCACTTCTGCTTTACCAAGGAAAAGAAATTAAAATCTGCTTAGGTAGAAAAGACACCATGAATGTGAAGTGGATGAGAAGTTATAGTAAGATGTATCACTGTATGCTGATGAACAAGTATGTGATAATTTTTTTTTTTTAATAATTCCACATAAGGAAATCTCAGTACAAATAGAGAGTGTAAGTTGGAAGTGTGCCTCTTAATTTAGTTTTGCAAGTTGAGCTTTGAATGGTACATGCAGTCTGGTTTGTAAGGCATGAATTTTTGCAGAAGACAGGAGCAGTGTAGTTTAGATTGAAACACTGAAGCAAAATTACCCAGCAGATGAGGTGGCATTCCTTTTAGAACACGGTGTAAGAGATTGGACAGTAAAGGGGTTTGGGTTGTGGATGGCCTGGAACGCTGGATGGTGACTCTTGAAGTAGGCATATGCTGCACAAGTCCTGATCCCTCCTGACCCGGGCTGTCTGGGTGCCTAGGGACAGCTCAGGGTCCAGTGTTCCTCTGGGAGTGTTTACCCACATGAACCATAAATTCAGAGTCTTCTGTTTGTCGTTACTGGGAAAGGATGAGCAAACATACTCTGGAGCAGCTTCTCAAGTGGTAGTAAAACTGGCCAGATTTTATTTTTGTCTTCTAAGCCTGGTTTGCCTCAGACCCCTATTTTTGCAAAACAACAGTTAAGATGCATTATTAGAAAAATGAGGTCAGAGTGCTGTAGAAGTTGCTGAAATGCTTACTGGCTTCTCTCTTGTGGGTCAGTGACAGTTTGCTCGGTCCTGGGTCCCTGGACCATACTTAGACCAGTGCTGCTCCAGGGCAGCATTAATAGATTGTGCAGTGACACTACTGTTAACTGCATATTGCCAGTGAAACTTGGGTGAAAAGAAAGGTATCGTACAGAGAAAGAAGCTTGAATTTCCGGAAAGTTGGTAAGAATTTGGATATAATTAGTTCATTTGCTTCTTGGGTTCAGTAAAGTTGCAAGTATAAGTTACTGTTCATGTTGGAAAAGATTAAATTTTACTTATTCTCTTGGTGAACATTTTCTTGCAGGGAAAGTAGAGTATCCTTTGTGTAGGAAGAGACAAAACGTATATTTTATAAAACATTAAGTTTCTTTAACTTTTGTTTTCTCTCCTCTTCCTCGGAATTTTGAGTACAGTTCTTTAATCTTCATACATATTTACTAAGAAATAGGCTTACTTGGTGGCTCAGTTGTAAGGAACTTGCCTGCTAATGTAGGAGACACAGGTTCAACCCCTGGGTCAGGAAGACTCCCTGGAGAAGGAAATGGGAACCCACTCAGTATTCTTGCCTGGGAAATCCCAGGGATAGAGGAGGCTGGCCGGCTACAGTCCATGGGGTCACAACGAGTCAGGCATTACTAGGGAATTCTACATGGAATATATTGAAAATCTTGTTAAAATGATAGATATAATGTATAAAGAGCAATATGGAGATAAAAAAAGAGTCAAGTCTCTTAAAAACTTGAATGTATTAATTGTGGAGACAAGGACAGTTCCAAGAAAAGTCAACTAATAATAGGGAACTGCCTGGTAAGGAGTATGAATTATGTGAGACAACTGACATAATTGCCCTGAGACCCTTCCTGGAAGAGAGACCCCGCAGCTGGACCCTGATGGACAGTTAGAGTGAGGACAGGAGTGTGAGGAAACAAAGTGTAGAGCAGAGGCCTGTGGGGAAGTAGAATTAGAGAAATCTCTTTGGGGGATCTCTTGGAATAATGGGAAGAGCAGTAGTAGTCGTGGTAAAAGCACTTTGTGAGTAGCAAGCTGTGTGATAAGTGATGGGAGAGTAGGTGTAATGGGTTCCATAAAACCCTTCTTAGTAGGGAAGCAAAGAAACGGCCCTCTCTCTGCTCTTTCTCTGACACGGCGTGCCCCACGTGAAGGTCTCCTCCTCCTGTCGGTGCCCAGTGTGCTGGCAGGGATGTGGTCACAGGGACCCTGTGTGCAGAGCGCTGTCCTGGGAGTGGCAATGGGCAGGACCATTTTCAGTTCAGATCAGTCGCTCGGTCCTTTCCGACTCTTTGCAACCTCATGGACTGTATCCCACCAGGCTCCTCTGTCCATGGGCTTCTCCAGGCAAGAATACTGGAATGGGTTGTCATTTCCTTCCCCAGGGATCTTGCCAACCCAGGGATCAAACCTATGTAATACAGGGAAAGTAGCTAAATACAAAACTTACATACGTACTTTGATTTTCCTAATTTGAAATGTACATTTGCACATTTAATAGAAAAATACGCCAAAGTGCTGAGAATAGATCTAATTGGTAGGCTTGTAAGTGATTTTGTACTTTTCTCCAGTGTCTACATTTTGTCCAAGAAATACATGTCACCATTGTGATCATGTAAGAGTAACTAGTAAAGAAAGTAAACTTAAGCCACACTTAGACTAACTTTTTAGTAGGTCCTCGTGACAAAACTACAGAGATAGATCCCAGTAATGTCTGTAATAAGGAACACATTAGCTAAGCGCTGGGCTGTCATATGTGATAATCATGTTAAGTGGTCTAGACTAAGAGTAATTTTTGCTTATTTCGATTCCACATTATCAAGATACTTGATTTTATCTGTTCATAAGGAGACAAAATATTAACCAACATACACACTTGATTTATAAAATCAAATGAAAATTAACCAGAATGTGAATTGACTTGGCTTGGCTTTTTGGCAGATTGGGTTCAGTTCTTGGGTTAGTATTGGCAGTGCACAACTATCATCAAATATTTGCAAGGCTGTTAGCACAATGAGATGGCGAATTTTAATTTTCTTCAATGTTAAAATAATACTTAAAAACTGTGTGAAAGTCTTCTTCTTTGCACTGTTTTTTAGTGACGTGTCTGGGAAGAGCCCAGATACTATTCTGAAATGTATATGAATCTTACATATTCAGAAAGGGAAACAAACTAAATGAAGGTGATAGGTGTTGGCATGGAATAAAATATTCTAGGAGGTTATGTCAGTAGGAAAAATGACACTCAAACGGTTCCCTAAAATTGTAGATCTATCGTATATTTCCTCTCTTTAATGTTGAAATAGTTTTCTCCCTTTCCCCTTATCGGAAAGGGAGATTTCCCATGTTCACTGTGCTACAAGACAGTTGGTATCTCACCAGTTTGAGAGATTTAAAAAATAGTACCATTGTTTACTATATATGAAATGTATCCATATTCTTAAAGTAAACAGGATCTTAATTTGCAGTTAAGAGAGACTCTAAAACAGAGTTTTTAGAAAGGTGCAGGGAAGCGCTTTTTTAAAGCATGTGTGTGTATGTATTGAATATAGTTGGCTCTCAGTGTTTCAGGTGCCCAGCGAGGTGCTTCAGTTACACATGTACACATGTATTAGTTTTGAAATTATTTCCATCACAGGTTATTATAAGATATTGACTATCTTTCTCTATGCTATACAGTAATAAACCTTTGTTGCTTGTTGCATATCTATTTTTTAATTAGAAATCTAGCATTCCATTCATACTAAGACAAGTGGAATCACAGTGTCATAATTTTTTAGGCAAAAAGTCAAAAGTT